GTGCGGGCTCCAGGGAACTGCTTTGTGGGCTCTGTCAGCTCTGGAGAACTGCTCTGCTCCCCCGCCCTGACACCACATGCCTCCTCACTCCCCAAGGCAATGCAGTGGTGCGGAGCAGTTTCCCAGAGCCAGTGGAGCCCGCAGAGCAGTTCCCTGGAGCCGGTGGAGCCCGCACCAGCCCCCAGCCCCCGTTCCCACCTCACCATGCCTCTGAGAGTGAGGAGGCACATGGCGTTGGGGCTGGGAAGTGAAGCAGTTTCCCGGCGCTAGCCCCTACCCCCAGCCCCAGCTCCTGTCCTTGTCTTGCTGCCAGGAGCACATGGCCTCAGGGAGGAGCTGCTGCCTGAGCTTACCTCCAGTAAGTGTCCTGCGCCAGCCCCGGTGCCTCCACTGCACTCTGTGCTCAGCTTGTTGCCTGCCATGAGTACAAGGATCCAGCGCCATAAGTAATGACAGGGGTGTAAATGGTGGACCACCGCAAGTGCGAATCGCCATAAATCAAAACGCCATAAGTTGAGGACTGCCTGTATTAGGCTTATACTCGCTCCTATGCAGAGAACCAGCACAAAGCCCAAGGATCTCTTAGAGCTTTTATTAAGCATTTATAATACTTATCTAGCAGGTGCATAGCACTTCAAATGTTCAAAGCAGAGCACACATAAATTAGCTCATCTTCACTGGGGAGAGAAGGACTTTTGGTCGCATAGAGAAACTGAGGTAGAAAGGTAAACTCATTTCTTCAAAGTCATGTAAAATATAAGCAGCAAAGTCAGGATCAGAGTTGAGGTCCAGGACCCTATGTTCAGTCCTCCAGATCCCCTGAACTTCTGCAGTAAAGAACAAGTGCATGCTTGATACTATTCCAATATAGGAGAGATGGAGGAGGCAAATCAAAAAGAAACTGAGAGCAAAAGTTCACACTGGGCATGAAATGCCTGAAAGAAAATTTCCCATTTGATTGTAATGTAATTTATTTCAGTTACAGAGGACAGGAGACCCAGTCCTTGAATCTATGAGAACAGCACAAAACAAAGGAAACAATTACTGCAATAAAAGGAACAAAACAAGCAGTGTTGTCCAGAACAGTCAGTTCAATTAAATTCAAGGCTGCACTGCAGCATATTACAGCTGCTGTGGTTGTAGGGTTACTGATGTTCTGGGACCTCAGAAAGCCCTTTCTGACACTTGCCATGTGAAAGGTGTTGCAGGGACTCCATATCTTTCCCACCACTCTGCACAGCATTTGTCACGTGGAAAGTTTTCTCTCAGAAAATCATGGCCTGAATGGTCAACTCCAGTAAAAAGAATAACATTTTCCCCACTCAAAATGCTGTTTTATCTGGTTGAAACAGAAAAGCCCAAATTATGCCTTAGAGTTGAACCAAACTGAGAATCATAGAATCATAGAAAATTAAGGTTGGAAGGGACCTCAGGAGGTCATCTAATCCAAACCCCTGCTTCAAGCAGGACTATTCCCAACTATATCATCCCAGCTAAGGCTTTGTTTATCTGGGTCTTAAAAACCTCCAAGGATGGAGATTCCACAGCCTTTCTTGGTAATCTGTTCCAGGGCTTTATTATCCTCCTTGTGAGAATGTTTTTCCTAATATCTAACCTAAACTTCCCTTGCTGCAACTTGAGACCAGTGCTCATTGCTTTGTTATCTGCCACCAGTGAGAACAGTTTAACTCCATTCGCTTTTGAACCCCTCTTCAGGTACTTGAAGGCTGCTATTAAATCCCCTCACAGTCTTCTGTTTTCTAGACTATATAAGCCCAATTCCCTCAGACTCTCCTTCTAAGTCATGTGTCCCAGCCCTCTAACCATTTTTTTTGCCCTTCACTGGACTCTAATTTGTCTATATCTTTTCTGTACTGGGGAGCCCAAAATTGGATGCAGTACTCCAGATGTGGCCTCACCAGTGCCCAATAGAGGGGAATAATCACTTTCCACCATCTGCTGGAAACATTCCTACTAGTGCAGCCCAGTATGCTGTTAGCCTTCTTGGCAACAAAGGCACACTGTTGGATCACATGCAGCTTAATGTCCATTGAAATTCAGTGAATTCACTATCACCTGCACCTTGCTCCATCTTACTGCTTCCTTTGACAGACATTCCTTTTGACTCTAAGGACTGGATTCTGTTCCACTTAGTCCACACAGGCAACTAATAAATGAAACCGCAACTGTCCTAAGAGCATTTATACACATACTGTTTCATCCTTCAACGTGCTGGAGATCCGCCACTTCGGAGTACACCTCCAACATGTTTTAGTTCAAAAGCACGCCACCACCATTTTCTCAGTGCTGAAGCGCATTTCGCCACTTATATGACTGCATGTGTTGCTGCAGCACTTACATGTGTAAAAACGCCCTGGTTCCTACTATTTTCAGTGATCAATGTGCACTTAAACCATTCAGGGTCATTTAAGAACTAGCCATCTTCAGACATCCACAAACCTGGAAAATATAGCTATTAATCTATAATGTGGGCTGATGAGAGGCAATTGTAAAAGTATTTTGGGCTCTCTTACTTCTCCCCTGTAAAACAAGAAGAATTTATCTAGCTTCTTTTTCAAGGACAAAGATAATCATTTATCAGGAAGGGACTGGAAGTCAAGGCACATGGGCTACTTATACATGTACACATTCATGTTTCAATTAGAATGAAATTAGATTGAGTCTGCTCTGTGTTCTAATTAAAACACTCTAGCATTTAAAACCAGATAGTGTTGATGATGATGATGAACAGGCATTGCTGCCAGTGTCCACAGTTTCAAAAAGCCTGTTATTTTAGAGGTATCTTCCATATTACAACAACATCTTGACCTCTAAATACATGATAGATCCCAAGCTCAAGACAAAAGATTGCCAACTTATAAACATTAGTGCCAGTCCATGGGATTGCAACATAAGCTCTTTATTATTACTGTTGTTGTTATTATTATTGTCCCTATATTAAGTATGTAGGTAATATCATAGAATTTACCTCCTTCTCAAGAGTATTGTGAAGATGAATTAGTCGATGTGTGAAGGGTATCCTGAACATATGACTTGCTGTATAAATACTGCTATTACTTAGAGCAGTTACTTTCTATGGCACAAAAAAATGATCTTTTGCATGTTTCAGATGAGAGGTGCAAAGTGCTGCTCTCAGTAATATTACAGATACCTATTTCACCCATGTAAAATGTAAACCAGGCTGCACTGCTGCTCAGGAGACTTACTGTAAGCAGCTGCTCTGTCCAGCTGTGAACTCTGTGTACGATTTGAGTGCCTGGTGGAATTCATCTAAGCCATTCTTTGTCACTGAGATTTGTCTCTGAGACACCAGGATGTGCTGCTGGGAGAGAGCATATGGTTTAGGGTTAGGCCTCCAACCAGCCTAGACTATCTTAATATAGGGGTTTTCAACCTTTTTTCATCAGTGTACCCCTAGTGGCCAGGCGCAGAGAAGTGCAACCCCTGGCAGCCAGACATGGAGTGTGGGGTGGGGTGGGGGGAGTGCACAACTAAACGCGGGGCAGTGGAAGCCACCGTGTGCGAGCTTCCCCCACCCCCTGCATCCAGCTGGGCAGGTGGCACCTGCACGGCAGCATGGGATGGTGTTTGGAGGCACTCCATCCACATCTGCCTGCGCGTACCCCCATGGGCCTTCTCAAGTACCCCTATGGGTATGCATACCCGCGGTTGACAACCCCGTCTTAACAGATATTCACATTAAACCCATTGCTGAAGGAGCTACATTCTGGTAATATAAGGGCAGTGTTCTCTTTCCTTCTCCTGATCCATTACAGCACATGGTGCAGTCAACTAGTCCCAATGTCCACGGGATTCTGTCTCCTCTCTAAACTAAACAACAGAACTGCGGCCAAGGTTGTGACACCTGAGATGGACCCAGCAGGCTGTATTCACTCATGTTGGTGTGATTTACACTGCCTGTTCCTCAGGGGAGATTTTCCCTCGACCCCTCATTTAGGGGTCTGCCCTTATGGCCTAGTTTGCCCTTTGTTCTGGTTCCATCCCTGTCAATCAGTACTGCGAGATCATGGGACAATGAATCCAGTTACAGGGCAAAGCCAGGTGATATCCCCAATAAATGCACAAAAAAGGGACTTACAGCATCTCTCCCTTTGCAAGCAACTTGTTCCTTTACAGGCTCCAGTCTTGGGCTCTGCATTTCATACAAAAGTAATATCATTACTAATGGGAGAGTCTGATCACAAGGGCAAGCAAGCATGGGCTCCCCAGTATTGTCTCCACCAAACCAACTTGCACAATGACAGAACATCAGTTTGTTCAGGAGAGGATTCAGACTAGTGGAAGATGGGCTACAACAAGAACTGGGACACATCAGGTGAGCTGTGTGGGGAAAGACCCACAAAGGGAAAAGGAGACGACACTGTGGGTCAGAATGAAGGCTTGCATGGAGATCACAGACTTGAAATATGAACAGGTTCTTGAGACAGGACGGAAGTAGATTTATTGAGAGGAGGCCCAGAACCGGGATAGCAGGGAGTACAGCAGTTTAGGACAGAAATTTATCAACACCACTGTGCTAAGGGAGACACCTGGAACTAAGATAAGAGGCATGCTACCAATAAGGCCTCAATTACTTGGGGGGGAAGGGCTGCGGGGCAGGGCTGAGATGTTCTAGCATATACAGAACAAGCTTCCCCTCTGCCAACTCACCTTGCATTCCAATTTGTTGATGAGCTGCTGTAGCCTGTTAATCTGAGCCATCCATTGGCTGTCAGCTTCTACACAAACACCTAGGAGGCAACAGAGAGATGGCATCATGACTGTTCATATAGCAGTGGCACAGCTTCTTTTACACCTATGCCATCTAAGCATTTTACAGCATTTAGGCTCTAAGGCAGTAGGCTCAATAGCTGCACAAAGGGGTAAGTATTTATTATTCTCCTTTAGTGCTCACAGGACAGATTTATTTGGCATTTATTAGCTATAGAAGGCAAGCAATGCTTTATTCCTTGTCTGTCAAGAGTACATTTTTCATTGTGACTGCAAATGTCTGCAATGTCTGGATTTCAGTGGAGGTGGGGCTGGAGACCTGTGGATTTCTTGTGGTGTTTTTTGTCAATATGATAAGCCTGCTTCTGCTCCCACTGAAGTGAATGCCCAGACCCACCCTGACAGCAGCAGGACCAGGCTCCATGTGCACCTCAGCATGTGTTTCTGCCTGTGATGGAACTAGGTCCCCTCAGGTAAGGGATCTCACAGGGTTCAAAGTACAGGCTGGTGTTCAGACAGGTTTTCAAAGGGTAAGTGCTGAGCTGAAATATCTTCAGGGATTGCTGGATAGGGAGCACTGTCAGGGAAAGCAAAGACACTGTGAAGTGGTATTGATATGAGGGGCAGGGCTAGGAACTATATGAATAAACTACTGACCAATTGGATATTCAGTCAAACCAGACCCAAACTCTGATCCTTCACCAGAGCAACTCCAGTTAAGTGATGGTGGAATGGCCCCCTAAATGCCTGTCCTGGGGAACCTTCCAACTGACTTCTTACGGCAGTAGGATATCACTTGAAATAAGAACCTGTTTTTATTTCTTTCTTTACTTCTCCTTAAATTAATTTTGGATGTTTCCCCATCCATCAAGCTAAGCAAAATCACAGAAAAGACAAACAAGGTTTTGCAAGACTATGACGTAAGAAATCCCACCCTGTCGGGAAAGCACCGCCATGTCTTATTGCAATCAGGCTGCTTTCCTTTAAGAGCAGAAGATCTAGTTCATGGAAACAAAAAAGATTTTTCTTCAGCTGTCTGCCCTTGCTGGTACCTGTAGTCAGCATCCCAGAATAGGGATCTGTTGGAGACAGGCAGACATTCTTGTGAGTTCTGCGCCTACATCTTCTTGTGGATCTCAAGCCAACTGAGGTTTCCGATTTCTTCAAATCTTTCCTAAAAAGGAAGAGAAAAAGAAAGAACCTTGGAGGAGAGACAAGTGAGGTGAGGAATGATAAATGTCAATATGTAAATAAATACAAGTGTATGCAAATGTATGCAAATGTATGTAAATGAATGCCAAATACATAAAAGGTTACAGCAAAGAGGAAATTTATAAACTGTTTTCCACATCCACTGTATATAAGACAAGAATTAATGGGTTTAAATTGCAGCAAGAGAGATTTAATTTAGACATTAGGAAAACTTCCTAAGTGTAAGGCTGGGTAAGCCCTGGAATAGATCATCTGTGGAACTGTGGAATCTCCAGCACTGGAGGTTTTAAGAGTAGGCTAGACAAATATGTGCCAGAATGGGTTAGAGATTGTTAGTCCTGCCTTGGGAGGGACTAGGTGATTTCTCGTGGTCCTCTCCAGCCATGTTTTCTATGAGTCTGTGATTCTAACTCAGGGGTGGGCAAAATACAGGTCACGGGCTGGATCCAGCCTGCCAAGCCATTCTACCTGGCCCATGGGGCCCCTAAAAAATTTAGAAAATGTATATTTATCTGCTCCCGGCTGCCTGTCAAAGATGACAGGAGCTGGGGGCAGTCGGACCCAGGCAAGGACTCACAAAGCCAGCAGGACTCACCAACAAGGCCAGTGTGGCCCTGCCCCACCCCCAGCTCCCTGCCACCTTCCCCCTCCCCCAACTGTAAGTCTCTTCCTGCCGCGGCTTTCACTGCTTCCCTGCACAGCCAGCTGCGGCAGTATCATGTGGCTTTTGGCTGCCTCACTGGACTGTGGGAGCAAGGTGCCCATGTGGGTACCTCAGGGCCAGGAGTGGGAGGTGTG